TAGGGTCATTTGAAAATTAGGATGATAAACTCTCTCAAGATTAGCTCTCTAAGATCTAGAAAGCCTACACTTTAGTTTACATGAGGTGTCTTAAAGTGTTTAACTTCAACTAAGTGTCTTTCAACTAACCCTCAAACATCTTTAGATTAAGCTTAGTTCACCATCAGACTCCTGAAACCTAGGGGATAAACCTATAGTTTTGGCAAAAGGGTTGTGAAGTGTGTTTCAATCCTACTTAGGGTAGTTGGATTTAAGTTGATTCAAAACTTAAGGAACCTAAGTGCAGGTCTACTAATATTTCCAATCCAGGTCCCTAATTGTTATCTAAACTCTCACTTTCTTCCAACCCCCAACTATTCTTCGAATTTACAATTTTATCTTTCATATGCAAAAGGAACGGTAGATGGTTCACTATTCTATCCCCCCTTTAGGTTTTATCACCTCGAAAATTCAAATCTTATTTTTAATTTTCTCTCTTTCTCTTTTCCTCATATTTTTTTAAGACCATGAATCATTTCTGAAGATAATTAAATTGAAAATTCTCATTTTTAACTTGACCGTTAAAAAAACAAAACAAACGAAAAAGAGGCCGATGCACTTTTTAAAACAAAGTCAAATCAGTAAAACTTGGAGCGAAACAGTAAGAAAAAAAAAATGATCGGATCAATCCCGAGAAGGATATCCTTTCCAAGTAGCGCTTTTATGGATTTCCAAACCCAACATGATTTCAATTTATATCAAACTCAAAATGGGAAACTTCAAAAGCCTTCTTCATTTCATAAAATATAGGATAACAATTCATAGGAAGCATCTTTCTATACCTCTAAAAAAAAAACACCATTATCAAAGCCCTTTAATTTCAATTTTAATCAAAAAGCTCGCGAGAAAGGCAACATTCCAAAACCAAGACTCAAACCCAGCTAAATGAATAGAAAAATCATGGCTAAGGCATCATCCCAAAACCAAGTTTCAAATCTAGCATACACTTTAACAAGAGGTGGCAAGAGAAGCAAAAAAAAAAAGTAAGCCTCAAAAATGTAATTTCCAACATTTAATATGATTCTCCAGCTTGTATTTCAATAAGGGGGCAGCAAGAAGTGCAAGATAAAGGCCCCAAAATGTAATTTCCAATATTTAATATGATTTTCCAGCATGTATTTCAATAAGGGGCAGCAAGAAGTGCAAGATAAAGGCCCCAGAAACATGATTTCTAACATTTAAAACACTCTCCAGCATATATTTCAACAAGGGGCAGCAAAGGAAGTAGATAAAAGCCCCAAAATGTAATTTCCAACATTTAATATGATTTTACAGCATGTATTTCAATAAGGGGGCAGCAAGAAGTACAAGATAAAGACCCCAAAAACATAATTTCCAACATTTAGAACACTCTCCAGCATGTATTTCAATAAGGGGGCAGCAAGAAGTACAAGATAAAGACCCCAAAAACATAATTTCCAACATTTAGACAACAAAGGGGCAGCAAGAAGTGCAAGATAAAGGCCCCAGAAACATGATTTCTAACATTTAATATGATTCCAAAAAGAGTCCAAACCGAGCCCATCAAATGAGCTAATTAAATAGAGAAAATTTTTCAATAAAGATCCAACTTTAAAGAGCCAAACCAAGCCCGAAATCTTGCTTCTACATGAGATAGGAAATATTTTCATGCCATCCGAAATATTGCAAGAATAAAAGAGGGGAGAAGAATACCTCACTTCAGCAGATTTAAAGCAAAGCACTGTAAAACAGGTTCAAGAAAAATACTCCCACAGAAATCTTTCTTAAAAGCCTCACGTAAACAGCCACCCACACTTCCTCAGCTCCAAGCACAAGAGAATGAAAAGAACAAGTGAGAATGAAGTTAGAGGAGATTTTTGCAGCACTTCCCCACTTTCAGAATTTCGGCCAGCACACACACCCTCAAAAAGTGGTGTTTTAAAGCAAAGAAAAGATGGAGGAGAAGCCACCTACCAGCCACCCTAGCCAGCAAATCGTGTGAGGGGAGAGGAGGAGAAAAATTTAAAGCAAGAAGAAATGCGACCTGGGGCAGAGAAAGGGTCGGCCAGGTGGAATATCGCGGTTGGGGGAACGTTCCGTCGAGAGGAACTCGAGGAGACGAGCCGCGTGCTCAATCGGCAGCGGCATGCCGCGTGTGAGGAGAAGGGGAGCCGTCTCACGCGCGAATGGCAGAGGAGAGCCGCGGATCGTGGAGCTAGGGCACGGGCGAGGAGCGGTCGCGGGATCGAGCCGAGCGCAAGATGGAGGATTTAATCGTGCTTAAGCGAGCCAGTGAAAACCTAAATAAGGTTAGGTTAAATATGATTTAAGAAAATATTTAAGATTTTTGAAAAATAAAATTTTAATTTGTGTTTCACCCATGCATCAAAACATAACAAAATTGATGTCATTTTTAGGTAATTTTGACG